TAAAACCTAATTTCGCGAATATACGGATGGTTTTTTGAGTATATTCTTGTAGAGGAAATCAAGTAGATCATTTCTAGAAAAAACCCGAACACGAAAGTCAAATTCTTTCAAGAGAAAAAGAGTCGCGAAAAAATCCGCAATAATTATGCATCAACCTAATAGTATTAATACATTCCATATTTTTGATATTTTTTTAAGAGGTTAAGTCGAAGGACGCATATACCTGATACCCGAAATTGAAAGGTCCTCCTAATGCGACCAGAACCGAGGCAATGAAAAGTCTGCTCGACGGGAGTGGGGGAGCCTTTTTTCGAAGGCTGGAATAGTTTCTCTTTCTGGCAGAAGCAAACGTTTAATCTACCGTTTTAACAGCAAAAGAGTGCCATGAGGAATTCCGATCCAGAACCCCAACTCCAATGCACTTCTTAAACGAACACCGTTTCAAAACTACAAAAAGATGAAAATAAAACGCACCTTTCTCCACCAATGAGACCCTTATACGTCGAAGAGTTTCCCATCCTGAAGTAAATATATTCTGAAAATGCATTGCAAAGAAAAAAAAAGTCATTGACACTGGGCCAACGGGAACTCGAAGCAGCCTAAGCCGCGGAAGTTGTCAAAGGGTTCGTAATAGATCAAAGTTTCTCAACAACTTGTAGATAAAGATGTCCGGAAACAATCGGAAATCCCGATGTTTGAGTGCAGAGCTAATGATTCTGGAAAAGGCAGAAGAGCTGATGATTCTAGGAAAGGCTATTTCGGGGGTTCACCGTCTTGCGGTAGCATCACAACCTCAGCCCCGCTTGTTATGGAGACAAAAATTGCGTCTGTAACACAACACGATACCTATTTGGAAGAAAGGCTTGGAACAACAAGGGGAAGGACCATAGACCATCGGGTGAAGGTGAATAAGGACACCAAAAACCAACTGACAGGATCAGGTATGAGCTCCCTGCTCACATTAAGCTCGTATCGCAGAGTTTGGTTTACCACTCTAACGGAGGATGCTGAAGAAATGGAAAAGTTCTGTTATGGACGTTAAAGTAGCAATATACAATAAATATAGTTGAAAATCGTTAAGGCGCTTTTCGAGGGATTTCTTGTGTAGAGATGGGCAAAATAGCTTGGCCTTTCAAGAACGTCTGCATATGATATTCTTCAGGATGCCTAGTGACTTTTCAGAATTAAAAGTCTCTGCTGCATTCTTGCTCTAACAAAACTGGACCCGGTACAGCGGAACATAGGTGTAGGACACTACATGCCTTATTAAGTGGGTCGCTTGAAAGTTAGTTTGTATGTTATGGAAAAATCAGTACTCATATCACTCGAAAAAGTCTTTTCCTAGAGTATTTTCTTAATAGCAATCGCCAGAAGGAAGCATTCAGAGAACAAGAGGACGTCGCTCCACCAGTATCTCACCTTGCGAAATTCAATTACATAGGTTTAGTCTGAACAACACAGTGCTACTTACAGAAGATTTTTAGGAACCCCAGCAATTCCAGAATGCTGGACCCTTGTTGACCTTACCCCTTTCTGACTGTAAACACTAAAACTACGCATATATAACTGTTTCTGGAAGACATCTGCTGTGAATCGAAATGTTCACCGTACCTTTTGACAAAATCCACCAGTTCGCTGATCACGGCTAGTTCCTCTTCGGTTGTGCAAGCTTCAGAATCAGAAATCTTCTCCTGAATCGAATCTGAATCTAGACCCATGTTCGAAGGGAAGCGCTAAGGATTCTTGAGGAAGAGGGAATGTTGAACTACGGATGCCAATTATATACTGCATGTGACACCAACAAAATGTTTTATCAGTTTGATGACGTTTTCCCAAAATAACCAGTCAACAACACCGTTCCTCTATAGGAAACACATCACCCTCCAACGAAATCTCCTCCAACACCTTTTCAAAGTGCAGAAATAGGGGAAACGGTCAGTAGAAACGGTTTTGTGTAATCGATCTGCCGCACGCGGCTGTCGCGATCCATTTGCCTCGTTGTAACAGTTCTGGCGTTCTTAATACAGCTCAATCGCTATTCAATTATTACTTCTAGCACGATTCTAATGGTGGTTCTTTTGTTCCTGTATTTCTTTCATACTGCTGCATTCTGTTACATTCCTTCGCGCGCGGTGTCTGTCTCGCCGCAACGCGACAATTTCGATCGAACTGCATCACAGCCCAGAAAGGGCCTCTTCATTTTTTGCGTCATAGCATGGAAGAGGGCGTCATGTTTCATTCAATTACCTGTTTATTAAATTATTATGTATGTATACCAAAGCTTTTAATCACATAAACACGGAGATCCTAGTTACAGTATACAAAAACTCCTTTTACGAGGGAAGCGGTAGTAACGTTAACCAGTGAGCGCTGTACTGTTCGCCCAAATCGGAGGACTACGAAGGCCCAACTATTGGCATTTTTCTGTTGTAGCCTGCCTGGACTAGTTGTGCCATTCATCTGTGGAGATGAAGAGGATTAACCAACCCTAGGTTAACCAGGTGCCTATATATCACAAGCTGAACCGCCTGGAAACCAAACTCGTGGTCATATTTATATTGTGTTACAATCGAGTATTGAATTCGTTATCCAATCCTTCTCTTTGTTCTTTATTCGTATCCCACAATTAAAAAAATACTGGGTTGAAAAAGTTCTTTACCGGCTTCTACGAAGGGGTTGTGATTCTACACCTACTATGTCAACGTCTTCGACGCTTTTCGATTCGTCAAAATTTTTTTTAGAATCTTCTCCCTTCCTCTCTAACTTAGAGGTTTATTAGTTATTTTGCGTCAGCTGTTCCTTAATAAGATTCATGACTATGAGGTAGAACGACAAGCTCCTTGAGCACTCAACCTTTTTTAGGCACAACCTCGGAAAGATCACAGATTTCGGGTTGTGGTGCGATTCACGCCTGAATATAATGAGGTCATCGGACAAAACGCGCTAAAACATCATGCCTACCATCATAATGGAAGAAATAAGATCTTGTAAGTAGAATAAGTAAAGAAATGGCCAACTATGCACGTTTACAGAAGGATTGCATTCTCTTGGATCAAAGAAGTTGAAGTTATTCTTATTTTGGACGTTGACAAGTAAATTGTTGATCTACGAAGTGAATTTTCCATCTCGAAGGGGCCTCATTGCCATAGTAAGGAGTTTTGCTTTAATTCGTGATGAAGCCGTGGACTACTTACTGCAAATTAATTTGGTCCATCTCAACAGAAAAGTACTAAAACGAGCGCTAAGGGGTCACGCGTGAATCGCGCCCCTTCCCCTCCCAGATTTCGCAGCATGCAAATGCAAGGTTTTCCGGTACTCACTCTTACAGGAAAAATAAGCGCTTGAGCAGGTTTAGCTAGCCTCTGCAAGTCTCTGCAATGCAATGTAGGTTTCTACTGTCAACCTTCAAAAGGCTATAACAGCTCTAGTTTAGCAAGAGATGGAGCTATTAGTTCGGAAAGTAATTACGGTTTTTTCGAACGTTACGCAAGGAAACTTTCCCTAATGAACGAAGCCTAGTCAGTAATATTTGTCCAGTTTTGTTCGGTTATCTTTTGCCTCCCTTGTGGGAATTTCATAACTCATCCCTCGCAAAGGATCCGGTTTTTTGACCAGAAAACTGGATCACATAAAAATTGATGTCTTCTTTTTTGCCAATGTCCTCCCATTTAAGGACTTCTGCAACGGCCGAAATAATTACGGCTCGGAAGTCGCGGGGTCAGGGCTGGATCATGGTGGATGATGCATTCGTTTCCAGCCAGCTTCAGTAATTTTTGCTCACTCACCAGAAAATTTGCGTTCTGATCTCGCCATAACATAATATTACTCGTGACGTGACTCGCTAATTTTGGAGGGCTCTAAACTGCCCCACGAAATAATTCGCGACGTCACGTGTACCTCCCTCACCTCAAGCGGCACCTAAACATCTTTCTTTCTTGCTGGTCTAGGTTTTCCGATTTCTCGTCAGCTATTAGCTAGATGCGTTGGATCTCTCAGTGAGTTCGCACATGGGTTACATGAAGCTCAGCTTCGGTCAATGCAAAAGATGATCAGAAGATGATCAACCATGCCTAGTGGTCAGTCCACCTAGGAGGGAAAAATTGCTGTAACGAAAAGTTGTGGACCGTTGTTTGCATGTGCTCTGTTATAAGCCAGTGTCACGATCTGTTTCACTTATTTCATGGAAAACAAAAGTAGCTATTTAGGCAAGACAGTTGTAAAAAAGTGAAATGTGCCGAAAATGAACCATCTGACACTTCATGTTCAAACTGATTCTGAAATTACAAATGGAAATATTATTGGTTTAGTTTTTTTCTCAGGAAAAATAAAGTTTATGGTCTTCAACTTCTCTCTTGCTTTAAACTCGTCATAGCTGTTGTTTGTGTTAATTATGATCTTGTGCCAAACGAGGTTTTTAGGTGGAACAATTTTTTTCAGTCGAACGGCCAAACGTTTCGACGCAGTAGTCGCCTTCAAAAGCCAAGGATCCATCGCTCACGCGGAGAAAGCGGATTTTCTCCGCGTGAATCCGATCGATCGATCTGAAGACGACGATTACGTCGAAACGTTAGGCCGTTTGACTGACAAACTGTTCCACTTAAAAACCTCGTGTGGCACGAGATCATAATTATCACGAATAAAGTTTATACCTGTAGTTTATTGAATAAAGAACTCAAACTTCTGAAAAGGTTCTAGAACCGGAACCGTATTCGGCTGCTTTCATAGTCCACGATTTGGCCAGCGACTGATCGCAGGATCGGTCCGCGATCAGTCGCGCGATCAGTCGCGCGACCTCATCATGTCAACCATTCTTGTTCGCAACAATTACTGAAATTCTGCCCCCAAGAACTTTGAAGAGTTTTCACAGAAAATTTAGGAAAAAAATAAAAATCAGAAAAATTGAAAAATACTCAAAAAAAAGATGCAATCAGGATTTTGATTTGAACTCTTGTATCAGAACATTGCTACAACCTTTCACCTAATGTAAGGACTATGGATCATGATCAGAAGTCAAAAGCGCTTTAATTTGTGAAGGACTTCGTCATTCCTTTTTGTTTTTTTTTTTTTTTTTTTGGGGGGGGGGGGGGGTATTTAGAATTTTTCAAGTTCAGTACTATGTAAGTAGCATTTGTTGCATTTGTTCCGTGGAACTGTATTTCCATTTCCTCATCTTGGGAGTCTAAGTTTTCCATTATACCTTTAGTCGTTACTGAAAATTCTGAGCAATACGCTTCATACGCTGTGGACATGAAAATTAGATCATAAAGGACGAACGGTAGGGTCTTTGGCGTGATCAATCGCATCTAAGGGAGGCGTCCGCATTCGACTTCCATTTAGAATAGTATTGGCGTAATGAATGTGTATGTGGCCATGCAATGTCACTTGCGATAGCCAGCCGATGAACAAGTCGACGCTTTTAATCATCCTTGATAATCCTGGTACCGACTAAGCCAACCAATCCTTCCTTACCTCCCGCAGGTTGGCCTGCGCAGATCCCGGTTTCGGATCGGGACCACCATGCCAGTGTGACAGAGCCCACTTGCCACCACACCACCTCTGCCTTGAAAATAAGGACGCACTTTCCGGAAAAGGGTTTAGCAGGGAATTTGTAGAAGGAAATTGTTTATGCGCTGCACAGATGTTTTCAGAAATCGTTCTTCTCCCTGATGCTGATCTTCAGCACTGCGGCGGTGATATTAAAAGTTATAATAATTCTTGATATGATTGTGAGTCTTGTAAGCTCTAATGACCAATCGTGACTCCTTCGACTGTTGGTAACCTGTGTCCTGCTTGTCTCATAGTACTTCAAATCAGCCTTAGTTCTCTTGATTGAAATAAACGGGCTGGCAATTCTAGCAGAAGTTCTATTTCCTCGATTTCCTATTAGCGGAAAGGTATGATTATGTAATGTCTATATTACTATTACACTTTCGTATTGAGACTGACATTAGTATCTTCTAGAAGTTGATTAATCAGAAATCATCATTTCTCAACCTCCATTTGATGACTAAGTCACTCGTCAAAGAACTATATTTTCGCACTTCTTTTGCTTATCAAAGCAGAACTACTTCATTCCAATGTGTCTAATTGGGGGAGTTCCTTCCTTAGACAGGAAAAATCTAATGCATCCAAGCAATGGGCGCAAGAAGCACATCTAATTGTAAGCTGATTATTTAGATGTTGAGTGTTCCTTAGCGTTTGGTACCAATTAATCGATCACGGATTTACGGAAAGCTTTGTTGGACTAAGTGGAAATCGGTCCGAGACTCAAACCCGTGACCGTAAGTGTGAGACAGTACGCCACTTGCCACTACACCGCATCCGTCCCACAAAAACTTAAAGTGACTTCCAACATTCCTGTCAATAATTTCTGCTGACCCATCAGGGCTTTCCATGAAGAACCTTGAGGTGGAAATAAGTGTAGATATTATTTATTTAAGGAAAATACCGACTTTTAAGTTCCGAGTGACGTTTTTGAACTTTGGATAGCTTTTCATTGAGCAAAACTTTTGAGTAATTCCTAGAACAAAGCCCCGAAAAAGTTTTGTTTGTCATTTATATGAAGCCTCCATGAGTCATTTTGTGTGCTTTTATGCTAGACCATGAAATTCTTTTTGAGCCAATGAATATGTGATTACATAAGGGTGATGCTTCTACCCAGAGGTACCTGCTAATCAGAACATTACTGGGAAGTACTCTTGTTAGACTTCCTGCGAGT